GGAAAGAGGAAAAAAGAGAAGGAAAGAAGGAGGGAAAGAAAGAGCGAGAAGGGAAGAAGGAGGGAAAGAAAGAAAGAGCGAGAAGGGAAGAAGGAAAAGAGGTAAAGAGAGAGAAGGAAAGAAGAAGGAAAAGAGAGGAAGGAAGGAAGAGAACGGAAAGAGAGAAAGAAGAGGAGGGAAAAAAGGGCAAAGAGATGGGGGGAGGCTCTCCCACCCCCACTCCCCCAATCAAGCCTCCACCACCCCCACGGATCCCTCACTTACCCTGGGAGGCAGCGGGGGCCCTCTTCTGCCCTCCCACGGGCCGCAGCACTCCGGCGCTGGCCTTGGGAGGCGGCGGGGGGCCTCTTGTGACCCCCCCAGTGGGAGGTGGCGGGGGGCCTCTTCTGGCCTCCCACGGCCGCAGCACTCCGATGCTGGCCCGTTGAGGCGGTGGGGGCCGCAGCACGGGGAGCTGGGGGTGGGGCTTGCTGCCACCGCCATTTGTTCCAGCGCCTGGACTCCCGGAGCGGCATTCCAGCGCGCTCCGGCCCCAAAAGACCCCTGGTGCCAGAGAGTGTAGGAGGCCTTACCTCCTCCCATTCCTACCCTATAAAGTTCCTTGTGGCATGTTTGTACCGCCTTTGGGTTTCTTCCTAGAGCTGGTGCATCAGGACAGAAAGTTGCTGTTGCCTTGACATAGGAGGCAGCACCAATAACCGGTGCAGAAGAAAGGGGACAAGAGCTACACTCACACATCATTGGGGATTTCACAATCACTGCACTTATAGCAGTTATACACCTCCTGAATCTTCTTGTCCGCACAGGAGAATTCAGTTGCAATGATTTGTACAATACAATGATATCCAATGGCATGTCGAAGCAACCCAGGTTCGCCTTTGTGCCTGTGTTTGGAAGGGACTGATCAGTCCTGTACTCAGTTGCTGTGATACAATGCACTATAGCATTGGTCTGTTAAGTATAAGACTCTGGGCATGTGGGTGGGTGCATTTGCATTTGCAAGTACTCAAGTTGTGAAAGTGTCTGTACCAACCATGTTACAGATAAAAATGTCTGAGTAGATTGTGAAGGAGTGGCACTAACTGCGCAGTTTCCTCATCTGGCACTTGGAAAGGTTGTTTATTCTCACAGGGGGAAATCCTACCTTTGCTCCATCTCCTGGTGTTTGCGTTTCACAGCTTCATTCACTGCTCCTTTAGAGTCACACCCCTTGCATGGAAATTTGATGAGTACAAACTAATTATGTGCTAAGCAAATTGCAACGTATTGCCTTTCTTTAACACTCCAGTTGAAACTAGTCAAAGAGGGAGACAGAAAAGGAAGTCTCTTGCACATCTGACACTTAGGGCAACCTAATTATAGCATTGCCACAGGGGCAGTTCTGAAACAATGCTAGCTTTCCTAAGGCAGCTGTCTTTATTGAGAAGAAGAAGGAACAAGAATGCAAAAACAAACAGAATAATTATCAGTAAATGAGGAAATTGTTTTTACTCATGAGATTCCTGGTATGATTTTATTACTTCCTGAGTTCAAATTCTCACTCATCCATAAATGGCCTTTGGCAAGTCACTATTCTTCTTAGTCTAATCTACATCACAGTGTTCACTAGAAGACTGGCCAGATATAAATGTTATAGCTAAATAAATCATTAATAAAAAGTGACAACTTCCCCCACACCCTTTACTACACCCAGTAATTTGGGGGATTAAAGAGTTTTAAAAACATTTACCAAGTTCAACTTTTCCCATTATCCTATGTGAGTGCTATGAGTTGCTGTATATATCATTCTTATCTGTGTTTAACCAAGATGTAGTTAAACACAACATTTAAACCAAGGTGTGAATGAACCTGGCTGATTGGTTCTGCTCACATGAGAGCCTCATTTCTCCCTTATCTCCCATCACTTCTCATGCAGAACGTGATGAAGGAATCACTGCAAGAAACTAAGTCCAGTTACCAGGATGCAGGCACATGGATTACTGGGAGTTAGTCCCCCTTCCAGTCAGGATTCTAAACTATAGTTTAATCTAGTTTTACAGTAAATCCCAGTTTGAGGGGGTGCTAACTCCAGAAAGCCCATATGCCTGTGCAAGGTTGCCAGGCATAGTCTGGCAACTGGCAGGCAATGGGTACTTACCACAGGACGGGGAGTGTCGCTGCCATGCAATGATGTCACTTTCAGCACCACTCAGAAGTACTGGCATGACACAATGGTGATGCGCTAGAACTCACCCCCAAAATCTGGGTGAATGCAAGAGCATTGCCCTAGTGCGATGCCAGTGCTTCCAGGTCATGCTGAAAGTGATGATGATCACTGTTTCCCTGTTTGGCTGGCCTGTTTCCGTCTGCCAACCAGCTGGTGGACAGTGGCCAAAATTGCCAGGAGTTTGCCCACCATAAGTGGGTACCAGGCAAACCAATGCATCAGGGCTTCTAGCAGGATTTCCTTCATCATGCTCCATGGTGTGAAGGCACAGGCATGGCAATACGCCATGTTCCTGCAACTGATAACTTCAAGTCACCTTGGTATGATATCTGTGGTGAGACCTGAACTGTAAGCACTAGACTAGAGAGAAGGATTGCCAAAAATGTACAACCTGGCTGCACCTAAAATACCTGAGAGGCTGAGGAAAGGGTGGGATATCATGACCATTAAAAAAAATGTCCTGTGTTAGTTCATATTAGAAAAAGAACATGAATAATTGGGTTTGATGGTTTATTTATTTACTTAAACCCATTACTGTGCTGCCTTTCCACCCAAACAGGGTTGCCAATGAGGCAAACATCAAACATTAAAACATTTACACATTAAAATAGTAAAAATTTTAAAAAAATAAATAAACAGACATAACACCAACAACCAAGGTGGAGGTCAGTAACAATAATTGGGGTATGCCAAAAAGAACAAAAAAACACATCTCCCTCTGTCAGAAGACAACAATAGAGAGAGGCAGACAGATCTCCCTAGGGAGAGTTCCAAAGTTTTGGTGCTGTGACTGAGAAGGCCCTTTCTTGGGTTGCCACCTGTCTAGCCTCCGATGGCAGGGGTACCTGAAGCTGGGCCTCCACAGATAACCTGACTGGATGGTTAAGTTCATATGGAAGGTATGCTGCCCCAAACCATACAGGGCTTTAAAGGTCAACACCAGCACCATGAATCGGGTTTGGAAACAAATTGGAGCTAGTGTAGCCAGAACAAGACTGGAGGGATATGGTCCCTACAACACCCTCCTGTCTACATTATGGTCACAGCATTCTTTACCAACTTCCTGACAGTCTTCAAAGGCAGTCTCACATACAGTGCGTTGCCGTAATCTAATCTAATCTAATCTAGAGGTTAACAGAGCATGCACCACAGTGGCAACTCCCCCACCCCCACCCCCGAATTATGATTGACACAATTACATCATTGGCATGGCAATTGTACAGGTATCTTAAACATCTTCTAAGTGTTTTCTGTTTCTGATGATGTCAGAATAGAGTCTTTAGCAGACTTTTATGCCCTTGAGAACTCCAGTGCCCCTGCCCATCTACTGCTAGTGGCCCAGTCTGAAGCCGTGGCAGTTGGGCTTACTTTAACAAGTCCAGCCATTTCTAGAAGAAGAAGAGATTGGATTTATACCCCGCCCTTCACTACCCAAGGGAGTCTCAGAGCAGCTTACAAACTCCTTTCCCTTCCCCTCCCCACAACAGACACCCTGTGAGGTGGGTGGGGCTGAGAGAACTCTTGACAGAAACTGCTCTTTTTCAAGAACAGCTGTGCCAGAGTTATGGCTTGCCCAAGGTCATCCAGCCAGGTGCAAGTGGAGGAGTGGGGAATCAAACCCGGTTCTCCCAGATTAGAGTCCGCACACTTAACCACTACACCAAACTGACTCTAGAAGCCTCCAGAAGCCTTCAGTATGGTGATGCTGGGCTGCAGGATACTCCCCAGGTTAGTTTTGTTTCCCATTCGGTGCATCCCTTGCCTGCCAGTCCCTTCAAGCTCTCTCATACAACTGGCAGAATCAAGTGGCAAAACTTTTTGTGCACTACTACCATATTATTTCAAAGATGAAGTTGTGAGACTGCATATTTGAACACTCCTCCACGAAACCAACCACTTTTCATACAGAACAACAACAACTACGATGTAGCAGAAAGGAAAGCTAAGCTCGTCCCTTAACCCTGTCACATTTGCTTTTCTTTGGGCAGTGAGTATTTACAATACAGAAACATTCAAACATGTGTCCCACACATCTGCTGTCTCACAGAATCATAGAGTTGGAAGGGACCTCCAGGGTCATCTAGTCATTATACCAACTGGCCCTTGTGGTCCTGTTGCTTTCCAGCCTGAGTTCCTCAAAGTCCTGTCTGTGAAGCCTGGCCCATTTTTATCTTATCCTATTTCCCCCCAGTCTACCTTGGATTTCATCTGTTAGTTCACCTTGGCCCCAATTTTGCATGGACAAATGAATGTTTTGCAGATGTAGGTTTGTTTGTTTGCTATCCATGCTGCTGTTAAAAGCACAGGAGCCTTACCCCCAAAAGCTGGTGACCTTAGCTGAGGCAGTGGCTCATATTGCTTGGATAATCACTTAAACATTTATTTCCTGGTGCTAAACCATCTTATTCTGTTTATTTATTTAGTACCTTTATATCCTGTTTAGATGAATATCTACTCAAGGCAGGTTACAAACATAGCATTTAACCCCTGCAGTAGAACTGTTACAAACAAGGTAATTCAGGTATCCTTTTAGTCTAGTACTGGCCTAAATACTGACTTCAAGCCTTCAGCGCAGTGTTAAGCCTTGGCACACAGACAGAGGTGCAGTGTCCACAAAGTCAACCACATCACAGGAAACTAAAAGCAGAGGCACAAGAATAGCAGAGTAGTGTTGTCTGCCTAAGACATATGTATGATTCTACCAATTGTCTGTAAGCACACCTGGATTTGCACAACCAAAGATCTCAATCACTGAACAAGAAGAAATAGCATGCTACTTCAGTCCCATACTGACCTTAAAGGTGTATTTCCTGCTGATGTTATCTGATGGCTGGACAGCTGCAACCCGGAAGCTGAGAAGTGGGATGCTGCCCAAGATGCTTTCCTCCTTCTCATCTGCATGAAGGAAAGCCGGAGACCAAAGAATTAGGCATGTAAGGACATCCACTTCCTTGCGCTAAGATGTCAGGAGATGTTGAGGCAGAGCATCTCAGTCAAACATGCTCCTTCATCTCCAATGCAGAGCAAGAAACAAGCAAGGACTGTCAGATTCTCATTAACACCAAAATAAGGGGCAGAGTCTAGAGAGCAACAAATTTCCACTTGTGGAAGACAACTCCTTTGTGCGCTTCTTATTTCCTCTGACTCAGACTATCAAGCTCACTTGTACACTCCAAGCATATATCAATTACATTTATAGCTCACAATACTGTCCAGTTAATTATTCATGCTCACTCTCCAGATACACTGCCCGAGAGAAGGCTCAAACAGAAGACCTCTGAGAACTAAAGAATGTGAGGAATCCATGCATTTTTATAGAAAATGACAGATATGAAAAGTGCTTGCAATGTGCCTTAACAATATCAGGGGTACCAAACAAACAGGTGTAGGGGCCTTCCTACCAGTGAGAGGAGTAGTTTGGCATCAAGGAGTATGAAAAGGATATATTGATTGATGTCTGCTGATCTGGAGTTTGCTAAAATCTGAATTCTTATTGTGCTTTCTGTACAACATCTGAAGAATAGAATATGCCACACACAACACAGATTGTAAGCTGCCAACTTGCATGTGATACCATCATTTTTCTGCTTAGCCCACCCTTATGCACTCCCATTATCACCTATTGCACTGAACTTGGGC